TCGTTTTTTTTAAAAAAAAAAAAAAATTCTGGAGAGAAAGAACAGGGATATAATGGTGCTTGTATATCATTTTCTATGACCTCCGAATGCCTCCCACCTTTAAAGCAGAAGGGAGAATGATCAAGAAAGGTTGAGCAGAGTTCAGAGTCAAATTTTTGCTGACCCAAAGCTAACATTCCCAGTTTTTGTTTGCCATCATAAGCCTCCTCTGACTCCGAAGCTTTTGCCTTCTTTCTTTCTTTCCCCTCCGTCCAACCAGAAACTACAATCAAAGACCCCATTTGCATCTCTTCCGCAAAGTTGTAAAAAAAGGGGAAAGCTGTGAACCAATCCATTCAGTGGAGAGTGTGTTGTTAATCGTTGCAACCAATGGATGCATTTTCAAAGCAATTCTCTCCAGCTTATGATTTGTGATTTCATTGCACTGTTAAGAGCAATAGCAAGAGCAAGAGCACTTAGACTTATATACTGTTTCACAGTGCTTTACGGCTCTCTCTAAGTGGCTTACAGAGTCAGCCTACGGCCCCCAACAATTTGGATCCTCATTTTATTGACTTTGGAAGGATGGAAGGCTGAGTCAACCTTGAGCAGGTGAGAATCGAACTGCCGGCAGCCGGCAGTCAGCAGAAGTAGCCTGCAGTTCTGCATCCTAACCACTGCACCGCCAAACCCAGGTTAAGCTCAAAGTATCTGAAGGGTACCAGGTAGTGCTAAATTCTCAATATCTGCACCCTTCAAAACAAAGTGTTAAACTGGTTTTAGAGCCTTCATGGGCTTTACCAAGTAACAGCTGATCCTGGTGGCTGATTTTGTTCTCCAGAGGTTGGTCCACTCAATGACTATTTTACTACAGGAATTGCATGATAGGTAGTCCTTGCCCTATTTATAGGATGGACATAAATCCCGACCTGATGTTATGATCTTTTTTTCCAGCAATTATTAGGCGAACACGATGGCCGTTAAACAAACACAGTGGTCATTAAGAGAACCCATTGTTCGCCATGGCATGGTTTGGCCCCCCAATGGAAGCAAATTCCGGTTTTCAGCAACACTGTCATAAAATGTAATCGTGTGACTGCGGGATGCTGCAAATGGCTGTACCTGTCATTGTGTTCTTGAGAGCCAGAACTGCAGTCCCCTGACCATGATGGGGGCGCATAAAATCAGAACTGGTTATAACCCCCTTTTTTTCCAGGTGGGCCCTATCTTCAAAAGGTCACCAAGTGACCGATGGTTAAGTCAAAGACTATTTGCATTTGAAAGTCTTCCTTCTCTAACTTTCATTTGGATGACTCTCCTGCAAGGGAGGAGTTTTTAAATGCTTTTAAATACTCCCCCACCCTCCACAAACACACAAAGGTAATGCCAACAAGCGGGGAATCCAAAGCGGACGTGGAATTTTAGATCAAGCCTTCTGGATCTCATCCAAAATTGTTATCTGGTGATCTTCACTGGCTCTCATTCAAGGGAAACAACCAACCGGAGGGGTGAGTCAGTCTCAGAACTGGTTATTTCCATACCTATCGGGTGTGATTAAGAGAAGGAACATGTGCAAGGTTGTGAGAAGTGAGCAGTGAAGCTGCGGTGGAGGGCAATCTTTGAACGTGTGCTTTAGACCCGGCCTCAGTTGCCCCTACCCAGATCTCTAAAGAGTGGCTAATAACAGTGGTCCCCTCTGCCCAGGTTCTGGGCAGCCATTCAGTTAATTCTTGCAATGTTCGGACACTGCACTAAAACAACAATAAATAATCGAAACAGCCAGACGCTCCAAGACACAGCCAACCAGGAAAGAAATTGAGAAGGACAGCGAAGAAAGATGGAAGACAAAGGTTCCTTCTCCAAGGTACTGTATGCCCAGCCATTTTTCCCAAGCTGGAAAGAATTCCCCGCGGACACTTTGCCTGGTGTCCCGGATGGTTAAGACCCTGTAGAAATATACGGTACAGTCCCATAAATGATTTCCTGAAAGGAGAACAGAAGGCGGGCTGGGAGGAGAGGTCTCATCAACAGGACAAGGGTGGTGTGGACTTCAACTCTCAGAATTCCCCAGCCAGCCATGCTGGCTGGGGAATTCTGGGAGTTGAAGTCCACGTGTCTGAAAGTCGCCAAGTTGAGAACCACTGTGCTAGAATTAGACGTGTCCTCAAGGCCTAATGACCAATGACAGAAGATCCTGGAAATAGGTATGAGCCAATGGGTCGGAGACAGTTACTGCTCTCAGTTCCACCTCCACAAACAGACTACTGCAATGTGCTCGGCATGGGGCTGCCCTTGAAGGCTACTCAGAAGGTATCAAGAAGATAGAAGGTATCTTATCTTGTTGGCGTGGATTTTGATCTTGAACTCAGTCCCTGGAGAAAGGACGCCAAAGAGCTGGCTGCATTTATGCATCCGATGTTAGGATTTGATGACATTTGCCCTAGCTATTGATTTGATTTTTAACTGGAGCATTGCAAAACCCTCTTATCGAAGTTGCATAAATAAAAGTCCACAACTCTCCTGCAGTGAGCAGTCTCACAAACTGGGTGTTAGGAAGGGCGTGGCCGGACATAAAATATGGTTTTATGCAGAAAGCAAGTTGGTTATTCAATCCTGAATACATTCTCCGTCACCTTTTTCCTTCGTCTTTACCTTCTGAGCAATGGACAAAGCACAGGGCTACAGTCACCCTCAATTTTTATTTTCTAAGAACATTTACAAAGGGATAATGCTGGAGCTGGCATGTTCCTTTCCCACCTTTCAAGGCTTGTTAAATGAAAGAACCGCAAGACTTGCAAAGCAAAGCTGCCCACAGGACGAGAATCCCTCTTTTCCCGTCCCCGATTGGAAGCACACGCCATCCCTTTCTTTCTTTCTTTAAAAACTTTTACATATTTCAATGTACAGCTTGTTCCCAGGCCGAGCGCAGCCCTGGAATTGTTTTGGCACCATTCCCTGGTTATAAATACTTCCCTGAGAAATTAGCAAACGAGCAAAAACACGGCCCTTTTTTCATTTCCATATGTTGGTTTTCTTTTTATTTAACATCTTCCCAATCACAAATATTTCTGAATACATAACCAGGATAGGAGGGGGAAAAAAACGAAAAAAAAAAAATCCACATGCTCTCTGAGCAGGGCATGACCCAGCAGTTGGAAACGCAAAGGAGATGCCGGGCTAATCTTGCAAAGGCTTGGCCAGGGGAAGAAAGAGACTGCGCTGAGATGCAAGGGATGAGGTGTCGTCCTTCTTTTAAAATCTCACCGCCCTACAGATCTCTTGTTTTGAGCAGCAGGCACCACGCCCTTGGGATTTTGAGATTTCTGCCATCTTGAATTAAGGATGGACAGGCAGATGGAGGAAGCTGGCACTTCTCTGGAAGAGAAGACACCTCATCCACGGAGAGCACCAGCCACAGAAGACACCAGCATCCAGTGCCAAAAAATCTGCCTCCCTGGAGTTTCAGCCTAGCGAGAAAGCTCAGGCATGCCAAGTGGGTGGGTGGCGTGTGCCCGGAGTCCCCTCCCTCAATGCCCTGCTCTCCATGGGCAGGGAGGGGCCGGGGAGGATAGGAAGCACAGCCACCTGTCCCGGGTGGGGACGCTCGCTTGCACCAGCCACAATCCGTCCTTCTAAGCCGCCGAGCCAGCTCTGGGCTCGTCTTCTGGGTTCTGGTCTCGGGGGACGATAAAGGGGGTTTAGCTCAGCTTCTTTGCAGGCAAGGTGGAACAAAGGTTGCAGAATCGAGAGGCTGGGGAGGGGAGGGGGCTTCCCGGCCCTCCAGCTACCAGCCAGATCTTTTTTTTGCGGAGCAGCTGGTGCCGGGCTGGGCTCCTCCCTTTCCGAGGCAGCCGCATTTGCAACGAGCAAAGGGGGCGTGGGGAGGGGGCTTGAGCCCCCACGAAGCCCCGGGAAGGACGCGGCATTTTCCCCCTCCCTCCCAAAAGAACCAGGGCTGGGTCGGTCGGAGGCTCAAGGCGGTTAGAAGCGAGTCGCAGGCAATGCCCGGGTCCCGTCCAGCTCAGCTGGGTCCCTGCCCAACGGGCAGGACTACAAGGCTCATTATCCTCAGACAGTTCCAACGCGGGCGTCGCAACAGCAATCCTATTTTGTGGGAGGGGTCCCGAAGAGCAGGTTTTGCAAAAATCCCCCGACCGAGACTGCAGCAAAGACGGGCCCGCCCCCTTCAGTCTCCGCGCCTGGGAAGCGGGGCGGGGGGCGAAGCCAGAGGGGCGTCCTAGGGAATCCCCTTCCTAATACCCGGGGAGGGGGCGAGGAAGCGGATCCGTTTCACCCTCGCCCGGCCGCCGCCTTTTCGCCACCAGAACAGGCGGTGCCCGACGGACGGGTGGCCAATTCGCCCAGCCGCGGGGTCGTAAATCAAAGCAGGGCAGGGAGCAGAGGGGGACGGAAGGGGGGGTCTTGCAGGGGCTGCGTTTTGGAGGGGCCCTGACCTCCTCCCCCACTCACCTCCCCCACTCCCCCCCACGCCCTCGGCTCCCCAACTCCGGTGCTTTATGCCTTCCTTTCTTCCACCACAGCGCACCCCGCCCCCTTTTCCTCCACTAGTAGTTGCAAAGCGGTTGTAGCAGCTGCTGCACCCTGGAGTAGAGTAGAAGCGGAGGCAGGGAGAAAGGTGGGTGTGTTCTCCAACCGTGCAGCCGGAGAGCGCGAAAGACGCCCCGCTTCTCGGCACCGGGTGGGATTCGCGCGCCCTGCCCAGCCAAAGCCTTCCCCGGGCAGGCAAGCCGGGCACCCCCCCCCCCCATGCAGGCACCTTCCGCGCTGGGCACCTCCTGACCAGGCAGCCACCTTCCCGGGCTCGCCTGGAGCTGGAGGGGGTCCGGGAGCCGCCCCCACTCAGCGCCGGAGTAAAGGAGCCGCGCCGGGGTTGGAGAGCGCAAGACGCGCGCTGCGACACCGGCAGCCCTCGCTCGTTGCAAGCCCGGGGCGGGGGGCTCCATCGTGCCGGGGGTCTGGGGGTGGGAGCCTCCTGTCCCGCCCGGGGCGCCCCCACTCACCTCTGCCGCAGTAGCTGGCGAGCAGGAGGCAGCCCAGCGCCAGGGATCCCAGCCGTCCGCAGCTCATGGTCGCCCGCACCGTGCCCGGACTCCGACTGCGGCCAGGAGCCGGGGAGCTGGAGCCCGGCGGCTGACGTCACGGGCGAGGGGAGGGGCCGCTCCGAGGGGGGCACCCCGGCCGCCGCCCCCCATTCCAGAGGGTGGGCTGCACCGGCGCGGAAAAGCAGCCGGATGGGAGCAGGTCGCGGTCGAGGCCGCGAGGCTTCCCAGCTGCTAGGATGCAGATGCGGGCGCATCTGGCCGACTTCCCTGGCAGATGCGTGCAGCGGAGCCGGCAAGGGCCACTCGGGGCGCCCGGTTCAGTTTTTCCGGACCAAAAAAAAAGACAAAAGCCGGAATTCCCCCTGGGACAGGGAGGCGAGGGAGCGTCGGGGGTCCCAATAGGGCCAGTGCAGGGGCACCGTCTGGGTGGGGTAAAAGCAGGGGTCCCCCCCCCAAAAAATCAGCAGTCCCTGGCCCATGCGTGACCTGACATCCCTGGGGAGCCCCACTTTGCGGCATCCGGCCTCCCTGAGTGGACATCCCATCAAAATTGAAACTCCCCAATAAGTCGTGGTATCCTGTGAAAAGGGGGGTGGTTTTCTCCCCTCCCCTTAGATTCCGGCACGTGCCCCCCCAAAATGTGCACTTGAAGGGCTCTGCGTCCTCCTTTTGGCCTCTTCTCTGCGGGGGGGGGAGTTTCTCACCTGCCCACAAGATGAGCAAGAGGGGTCCTTTGCCAGGTGCCCAAATTTTGATTGGGTGACCATAAGGGATGCTGCAATGGTCATAAGTGTGAGGACTGGTTGTAAGTCACTCTTTTCAATGACATTTGAATGGTCACTAAACAAATGGCCGTAAGTCGATGACTTACCTGTGCAGACCCTCCGAGAGCAAGAAGGGCGGTACTTAAATGTGATTGGCAGATATAGAGAAAGAAAAATAGATGATAGGAGAGAGACAGACAGACAGACAGATAAATAGATAGATGAATGATAGGTAGATAGGAGATAGATAGATAAATGGATAAATAGGTGATAGGTGATAGATAGAGATGATAGGTAGGAGATAGATGGATGGATGGATGGATGGATGATAGACAGACAGACAGCTGAAAGGGAAGACCTGAGAGACTCCTTGTTGCTGGCAGTGTCCCATTCTTTCTCATGAATCTGCTGATCCAAGCAAGAGGGATCCAGCTGTTTTAGAATCAACAGCTGACATGTTGACATGGGTTCGAGAAAGGCGGGCCAGCCAAAGCTTTGCATTGTCCCCAAAGGTAGTGCTTCGTTTGGGGTCTCCTTCCCAGCTTCTCCTCCTTCCTCCAGTTCCTCCCTTCAGTCCTTGGGGGGGGGGTTTCTTCTGGATTTTTTGGGGAGCCCCAGCAGGTTCCCACAATCCATGCCACACCAGCCATGCCCAGCACTGAGCACTTCCCGGCTTGCAAGTGATCAGAGGTGACTGAAATACCAGCCGGGCTGACCTTTTGGCCTCCTAATTGCTCCATTGCTGCAGGGAATCCTAGCTGAGGGAGAAACCTGGACAGCCTTGTCCTGGCTGACTGGTTACCCTGTTTACTATCCCGCTGTGGTTTGGAAGGGGTGAAAACTCCCACCCTCTTTGGGGACATTGCTGTTCTGCCCCCATTTCCACTATTGAACAAAAGCAGTTTCAATACTGTTTCAGCAAACATCTCTGCTGCTGTTAGCCTCTGAAATGTTTTCTCTTGCTAAAAACCCCCCTCTCTCTCTGGGGGGGAGGCTTTGGCTTAGATGTCATCTCTGAATCTATGAATTGCAATCCACAATTCAGAGCTCAAACAGGTAGTCCTCATTTAGTGACTGCCTCATTTAGCAAGTGCTTTTTTTCTTTAAAAAAAAAAAGGTGCCGGAACTCACACATGTTATACAACCTGCCTTGCCTACCCTACAAGGTTCCATCCAAAAAAGGTGCCAGAACTCTGTTCTGGGCGTTCTATGAGAAAAAAAGCCCTGCATTTAGCAATTGCAATTACAACAGCATTGAAAAAGGACCTTGGTGACCAATCCTGGCATTGGCGACCTCCCCAGATCTGTAAAACTAAAGAAAGCTGAATCACAAGTACAGTTGCGTTTTCACTTAGCAACTGCTTCACTTGATGACCAATTTGCTCATACTGACTGTAGCTGCTAAACCAGGACTACCTGTGCACGAATCTAGCCCCTTGTAACTTGTTCAAGGAACTATGGTTAAGCAGACTGCAGCCGGTGCAGTTTGCGGACCTTGTTCAGTAAAGTGAAGAGCGGAAGGGATTTTGTGCGGCAGACCCTCATGATTTCCTAAGAAACCTGGAAAAAAACTATGCCTTGGAGCTGAGTTTGATGCAACTCTTTCCGCCTCTCTCTGCACCGTCTGGGCTGATGTTTTTCTCCAGTTCAGTGGGGATTTTTCCAGAGCTTCCAGGGTTAGTACAAACACATGGCGTTCAGGTATGCACTGCTCCACTCCCCAAACAGATTCTCAGAAAAACAGAAAAGAAATTTAAGAGTTCACGACAGGAGGGGAGATTCAGGGGGAAGGCTGCTTTGCTCATTCATGCTTCAGCCACATGCAATGCTGCAGCACCGCCGGGCTTGCTGGTGCATGCAAACTTAGCAAGACACCATCCTGTTCCTTCTCCAGCAGCAGAAAAAGGGTTCTCATTGTAACTTGCAAGGAAATGGGTCTTTGGAACCTTAATTCTGTCTTTTTGCAGACAGTCTGCCCTGGCTTTCTAGGGTCTGTACAGAAGAGCTGGCTTGGCGTCATAAACAAGCATAGAATAATTTCTGGTCTTTACAGAATTTAGCAATTTTGCAAGCACTGACTCTTTCCCCTGTTGCCTTCTTTCTCCCCTTCTGTTCCCAAATAGGTTTGTTTGTGTTAAACACACATTTCTGCTGAGCAGGAAAATACCAGGATCCATAAACATCATTATCGTCCCCTGGGCCTGTTTCCCCCAGTCTGTTAACCTGAGACAAACAACCTTCTGACTTGCTTTAACCTCCCATTTATTTGCACCCATTCAAGCGGCTAAGCGACAGATGGGAGGCGTGATCCAGGGTTGTCTGCAAGGGCAAGATAAGAGCCGGGATGATACCAATCAAAGCACCACCTGTTTTTAATGTGTATCACGTCTCACATGGTTTCCTCTTGCCTCGTGGACCCTCCGGAGCAAAAGTTCCATCAAGGTTTCCCAACCCCAGCAACTTTAACATGTGTGGAATTCAGCACCCAGAATACTGGGAAGTGAAATCCAGGCATCTTAAAATTGCTGAGCACCATCGTTGATCTTCTAGATGGTCACAACTGTCCGGCCTCTGGGAAGCCCTGAAGCAGAAGTTGAGTCAGCCGTGTGTTTTACCAGCAACTCACAAGATGATATAAACCAGAGCTAGTTAAAGGCCATAATCTAAGTGTAATGACTAGTAGCCTCTGGGTGACATCTCTGATGGCCCCCATCAACCTGGAGGCAGATTTCACTAGGGAAGCACAACTGAAGGGAGAGTTGAACGTTCAACTATTGCAGCCAAGTGAGTTCCCATGTGATATTGTCATGATGGGGTCTCCTTCCTTCTTTGCTCCTCCCCTTCAATCCAGAAAGACTAGAGGTCAAAGAAGATACGTACCCAATCTTAAGGCGGGTGCCAAGACCCAGCTGGCCTTCCCCCAAATTAGAGGAGGACTCTGTCTTTAGAGGAACAACCTGGCTTTCCAAATTCACTGTGCAAACTGTTTGGACTTCCCCCACAAAAAAGGAGACCTAAGACAGAATCCCTCTGTGGTTCTAAGCACCGCTCTTCCTTCCAACTCAAGAGCAAATTTGAAAAGAGGCGCTAACTTGGAAGGAAATCTTTGCTCTCCTGCAACTTCGCTTTTCTCCAAGACTAACATCTCTAACAGGATCACCACCGAGAGATTTAAAACAGATGTGCTTCCCCCAGCAACCAGATCACTAATGCCTGGGAGAATCCGTAATATTTCTTTTATATTTTGTCATGGATTCTCCTCTTCAACTCCTTTTCTTGGAGAAATGAGCCATCCGCTTTGTTCCTTCAGCGCCCGATGGCTTCTTTGTCTTGACCTTGGATGGGCCAGCTGGGGTGGGAAGAAAAGGGGATGAAGGGGATCGCTGACAATTTGAAACATGGGGTCTGAAAAATAGAGGGGGGGGAAATAGGAGGAAGGAGTCCCCAAATGGACACAGTTGACCTCTCGATTCATCTCCAGGTTTTATGTGCAAAGAAGAAGTCTCCGGTGTGCACCATGCCAGACCACCAGGCTGGGATTCCTTTGTGACCTTAGGAGAACTGCAAGATGTAAATCAGTTCCAACCATCCCTGGAAGCTCCTCCTGGATTAACAGAGGGAAACTCATTCTTTAAGTCAGTCACAACGCAGATTAGCCAACAGGCTAATCTGCAACTGAGTAACCTCAGCAAATAATATGTAATCGTTTTTAGGGCACCTCGAGAAGATCTGTAGGAGACAGAACATTTTGACTGGAAATGCCCTTCCGGTTAACTTATAACAGACCAGTTTGTACTATTAAGCCTCTGTGCTTTCTTAAATTGGAGGGTCGGTCAAATCTTTCCCTGTTTTGGAGACACTCAACTGGTCTGGTCTGTTCAAAACATCTGTAGCCTTGTATATTATCTTTAAGCTTTCTTAGCACTCTTAGGGGCTAATACTCTCTCTATTTACACATATGGGGACAACTTTACGTGCCCCTTGAAAGGAAGCTGCTACTCCAGGTTCAGCGAGCAAAGGTCATCTTAGCCACCCTTGCCCTACTTTAGAAGAATCGGGTTTCTGTGGAACGTGAGTCTTCATCAGAACCTTCTGCAGAAGGAAGTTTCCGATCTGCCCTTACAGTCTAAGCTTTTTGTTCCCTCCTTTCAGAGTGATTTAGCTTCAGATGATTCATCAGAAATGATGAATTCCATCCCCCCCCCATTTCCAAATGAGATTAAAGGCTTGAAATGGCTTCACTGGGCTAAGATAGATGCCAGGCGCCAGCCTGTTCTTTGGCCG